TACTATCCCCTCTCGTATCTTGTATTGATTTGACGCATGTATAAATATATAAATTTATTACTTCTTTTGTTCATTTTTGATTGCACCACTTCCATTTTCACGTTTGTCAACACACACCATTGACTAGGGTTGACATTTTGAACTGATAAACAGAAAATCGAACCGAAAATAATCGAACCGCATTGAAAAATATCCGAATCGGATCGAATCGATAAATTTTGGGACCCGAAAATCGGGACCCAAAAAAATATTGGTTCGAAATCGGTTTATCTGCTGAACTTATCGGTTTGGACCGAACCGAACCGATTTTTTTATTGATAATAATAATTATTATCATTAGTACTAACTATCATTGAATAAAAATTAAAGTAAAAAATTGTTAAAGAAAAAAAGAAAGGAAGCACGTAAAAGCAAGAAAAGAAGAAAAGAAAAGACAAGACAAAAAAAGGAAGTAAAGAAACAGAAGGCGCGTAGAGAAGAGCAGAAAAGGGAAAAAAAGGAAAAGCTTGAAGCAACGGCGAAATCATGTGACGCGCGGCCGAAAAAATTAAAGAGCACAGCTAAAAAGAATTTAACATTCATCCTCTAAACTGAAACTAATTACAAAAATGCCGACTGTACCATGCTCATGGTACGGGTTTTTTGGATTTAAGTGACCTTTAAAGGACTCAATAGTTTAATAGCCAGTTATATTGGGTTTAGTGGGCTCAATATTCTAAAGCCTAAATATATTTGGCTTAATGGGTTGAATGCAAGTTCAATTTTTTATTTTTTTATTATATTAATCGGTTTGTTTCAGTTTCCGACAAACCGATCCGAAAAATCGGTTCCCAATAAACCGGCACTCGATCCATGAGCGGTTCGGTTTCAGGTGTAATAATTTGTGTAACTAATATTTTGGTTCGGTTCGAAGATTTGTTGGATCGGTCGGGATCCGAACCGAATCCAGCCCTACCTTTGACCATCAATATAATTAATTTCCTAATTGCAAAAATTTCAAAAAATCACATTTTGTAAATTTAAAGTGAGATTTAATTATATTTTCTAAAAAATAATTTTTTAATATACTTGTAAATAAAAAATAGTCAAAATTGAGCGCATGAATAGTGTAAAATTTCTAATCTTGCAACTATATAAAAATAGAAGCAATATTAGTCTTCAATTATATATAATGAATATTTATATTTTAAAATCTTCAATTGCCATTCTACTTACTCGTATAATCTTTTAATAGTGCGATAATAAGATCAATAATAACTAATAATGTAAAGTTTCAAGGTATATGTTATATCAATGGACTAAGAGTACTTTGATTTTGTTTTTGCACTTTCTCGTACATTATAGTATCTATTTCGGAGTACTTTGGTTTTTTGGAAGCAGGTGGGTTATATTAATAAGAAAGAACGCAAACAGGGTACAATCAGACAAAGAATCCAATGTCTACCGTCTGCCCTTGAATCAGACTTAGAAGCTGCCACCTCTAACGAAGCATCCAGAATCGTTGATCCTGAATTGGGCTTACTTGAGCCAATGACTAGTAAACTAAGTTCTCCATCCCGTGTCCTAGTCTTACAACGTAAATTAAAATAACAACAAAACACAAACGTCTTAACTTGGGAATTAAAATGCAGAAAAGATAAATAAGCAAACTCCAAAATGCATCGATCAAATCTTGGCGGTGGTTCTGGGGAGGCCGGGCCCTTGCAGCGATTGTTGTTACACCAAAGCGGGTTTCCTCCAACTCGACCGCCTCTTCTTCATCATTGTTGTTGCACCAAAGTGGTTTCCCCGGGCGCCAAACGGATGCCATCCGAACTTGGAACCCCGGAAGACTGATCTTCCGGTCCGTAATCACGTCGCCGACCACCGGGATCACAGCCTGCTCGTCGGCATTCTCCATCTTCTTGTTTCCACTTTCATCCATCGACATATTCCGAGCCCTCCCCTTCTTTCCTTCTTGGCCGAAAGCTAAACCAGACGCGGACGAACTGTTGTGGATGAACTAATGCCTTAACCCAACCCCAGAACACCCTCCGGAGAGGCAAGAGCAGCGTCGTTGATGCGTGATGGCCCTTCCGCTTGACTGCCAAAGACGACGGTGCACTATAGGCGCCGAATTTCTCAAACCCTACATGAGGGAGTCGGCCGCTCTTTGAGTACTTTGGTTTAATAAATTAATATTATTTCTTACAATATTACTCAAATAATACCCATACATAAAATGTAACCGTTTTCAAAAGTGCAATTAACAAGTTATTCGAAGATGCCACTGCAAATCAGGGGTGGAGCCAGAACACTGGGTCGAACTAGGCTGGTACAAAGGATATTTTTGAAAAAAAAATACACGAAAATTTTGACACTAAAAAATAGGCATTTTTTAAATTTGGGGTGGGTCGTGACCTAGGTTGCCCCCCTCCCCCCGTATTAAACATTTTTTGTGTGATTTGTAACAGCCCGCATGAGTTTGGTTGTAAAATGTAGGATGTTGTACAATGTTACACTAACGATGTTGTACAATGTCTTAGATTGTACTGCCAAATATTACCTGCAATGATATGACTTTTTGTCTTGCGAGAATAACTCATTGTCCATTGGGATTAATATATACCGATTTCTCAATGCTTTTATACATAATTATTTGTGCTTTTATACATAATTATTTGTGCTTTCATTAATTATTTGTCTGTGCTATGTATTCTATTGTGTGAATACACTAGATTCTCACTCGTGTGATGCATGGATGAAAACTTACCAAAACACAATTACCATATTCATGTTTGTTATAATTGACACTACCATCAAAGTATCACAATATAAAAGTGCATAAATAATTCAAAATGTAGAATAAAGTGGAAATATAGCAAGTATTCAGAGTAGTTAGAGAGAGATTACATTATCGTCGAAGAATGAAAAATGTAAATATTTTAAAAGAAATGACACTACAAATTCCGAAAGATTTCTTTGTAAACAATATTAGTAGTAGGGGTGGACTCGGGCCGGGCCAACCGGCCCGGAACTAGACCGGCCCGCCACTGTGCGGGCCCGGACCGGCCCGGGAACCGGTTCGTTGGCCGGTTCGGGCCACCCGGCCCGGTGGATTCTCGGTTCGGGCTCGAGCCCTTCAAAAGGTGAACCGGCCCGGCCGGTTCGGGCCCGGGCCAGGCCAATTTTAATTTTTTTTTTTGAATTTTTTTGAGTTTTTGGGTTAGGCTGGTTATTTTGGGCCATTTGAGGTGGTTAGGGTTGGTTTGGGGGTGAGGGGGAGGGGTGGGGTTAACTAGGAAAAGCCCAAAAAAAAATATATATACCCGAGGCCCAGCCCGGCCCGGACCCGGGGGTTATCCGGGCCGGTTCCTGGCCTCCCCTTCTTGAACCGAGGCCCGGCCGGGCCCAGGCCCGAACCGGCCCGAGTCCACTCCTAATTAGTAGGATGATCGATTTGTCGATCATCCTCATCACGGATCAAAACTATAATTTCAAATCTTTGCTATTGATAATTCTTGACACTGCAACGTAAAGTTGACCATGAGGGAAGATTGGTTTTTCAGTAGTAGTCCAACATGTGATAAAGATTGACCATGAATCTTGTTTATTATAGTCATCACATAACGGGAGTACCAATCTTTCAAGTTACGATTTTGCTATAGGTAACCCAATTAGTACCCCGCGCCATTTGCACCCCATATAAAACCCCTTCCAACCCCCCCCCCCCCCCCCCCACCTCCCTCACGTGCGTCCAACAATTCCTCCCTCACCTCCCTTTCCAAATCTCCCGCGCCTCCCACCTTTTCCCTTCCCCAGCACGTTTCGAAACACCCCCAAACCACCATCACCTCATACCTCAACCAGTCTTCACATCCAACATCGAACGCCAAAGCCGTCACCAGCGTGTCCACAGTCCGTCGAAATAACCGACCCCAACCCATCCGCCACAAAAAAAACAGTGTTTGTCCCCACCCCCATGAACCAACGATTGCATCCCCCACAACTGTCGCCACCAGTGAAGAACGACACACTCCTGTTCACAACCGTTGTCACAGAGCACTCCAGCCTCACCCCTGTTTGCCCCAACCCTCTTATAAGGTGTAAACACTTGAAGGTTGTCAAATCAGTTTAAAATCACTTTGTTGTGAAGGTTTGAAGCTCTATGATTCGGACAAGCTTAACAGAAATGGCTAAAGGTATGAATTTTGTTCTATTTTTCTTGGATTATTTTTTTATTGGTGCGAACAACTTTTGTAATTTTAGAGTTGTATGTTATTATGTTTGTGAGTAGTTTGAAGTTGTTTGTGCTTTGTTTGTATGGCTTAGTAGTTGGTTGTGTGTGGTTTGCGTTAACAACACAAGTTTTTGCTTAACGATGTTCATGTATTTGATAAGACCCCACCATTTGTTATATTGTTTGTTGAAATGGTATTTTCTTGCCTTGCATGACATGTACTAATGGAAATAATGTCTGCGACGAAACGATTTTCAAACAGTTTACTTGGATTTGTACATTTGTAGATTTGTTTACATTCATTGAGGATAAAAAATACTATCGGATACATAATTTCCCTACTAGATCTGTCCAATTATCAGATCTGTGTTTAATTGTTGTGTTTCCTTTCTTCAAAAAATGGAGGTCAGTTTGTTTTCTTGCTGCTTAACCAATCTGGTTACACAGTATACGTCAAGACAATATGTTATGTAGGAGTGTACTTTTTCTGTTTGACCTATTAGTATGTATATGTATAACTATTTCAAGTATATTTTCAAATCTTTGACTCGAGTGAACTGTTATTTATTATAGAGAAAAGGGTCAAATAGGCTCCCCTACTATAACGAAAATGTCAATTAAGGTCACAACGCAAAAAATGTCCAATTAAACCCATGAACGAAAAATAACGGGGCAAATGGTTGTTTTAGCCGGTTACTAACCGGTTGCCGGTAAAAACGTTTTTGTGGCGTCTGACGTGGCTACAATAAATACAGGTGGTTTCTAATTTGTAATTTAATAAATAACCCTATTTATTTGCAAAATGTCTTCTTCTTAGGTCTCTTCTTCGCAGATAGGCGGAAGGTCTATTCGCAGGTCTCTTCTTCGCAGATAGCGGCGCAAGGTGGACCGAAGTAGGGGCTCTCTTCTTCGTAGGTCTCTTCTTCCTTTGCAAATCTCTTCTTCGCACTTCTGTTCATCTGGATAATGTCTTCTTCGTCTACATCAAGCAAACGAAAAAACAGCCTATCTACTCTCAATTACGAGCCCGCAGTTTACTGTCTTTGTGGGATGAAAGCCCCTCTTTGCAAAGGACGAGAAACTGGACCATTGTTCTACGGTTGTCAACAATTTAAGGTAATGCTTCTTAAAAACAATTACTTACTGTCATTGATTTGGTTGGAAGGATGCTTGAACTGGAAATGTTTTCTGACTTTGCTTGAACTAGTGATTTTTTAGTACGATCATGGATGTGGTTTCTTTATGTGGAGGGATGCTATGGATGCTACACATGGCCACATAGCACATCGGATTGCAAGAGATGAGGCAGCACATGGTGGTGGTTTGTTTGAATTACGAGGGCAAACAGTTCAATGGGTCAAGAAATTAATGTTCTTGGAAGAGATATTGTTCATCTAAGAGGAGTAATCCAAACAGAGGCAAAACAAAATGTTAAGGTTCTTTATTGTTTGTTGGTGTTTTGTAAGCACAACAGTTGTTGTTGTGGCTTATTTCAATTTAAGAAAGTGTTGTATGTAATAGGTGTGGTAGTTATGTTCCTATGGAGTTTTTTGTGTATCCTCTGTTGTTGCTTCAGTTTATCATTACGGTGACCACTTGATGTATGTAAATCAATTGCTGGAAATGAAGGGTTATATTCGCTGATGCTTCTTGTTTTATCACACCAATGAACCCCGTCATTATGTGAGCATAATGAGTGCACATTTGAATTTTGAATAGAACCAGATTACCAGACAATGAAGTACAAAAGAGGACAGATGCATGAGAACAAAAGGAAAAGAGGGCAATTTAAACTTGAAATTGCAGACCTGCTTCCCTTATGCAATTTAAACTCAGCTTAGTACATATGTATCAGTTTAACATTTTCCTCGAAATTGTCTTAAAGTATCAGCTTAGTACATACGAGTAGGCTTGGACTCGAGTCGGGCCACCCGGCCCGTGGACCGGCCCGGCCCGCTACTGTGCGGGACCGGGACCGGCCCGGTTCTCGGGTCCGGGTCCGGGTCCGGGTCCGGGTCGGGCCTAGGTCCCGGGGGGTAGGGCGGGTCCGGGCTTGGGTCTCAATTTTGGTGAACCGGCCGGCCGGGTCGGGCCCGGGCCCGGTCCAAATTGAATTTTTTTTATTTTTTTTCATTTTTGGGGTTCCACCCGGGTTGGGCTTGATGGGTAGGATGGGTTTGGGAGGTTTGGGAGGGTGGGGGTGAGGGGGGGGGGGGGTTAGGAAAGCAAAAAAAAAATCCAAACCGGAGGCCCGGCCCGGCCCGGCCCGGACCCGGGCCGGATCCGGTGGCTACCCGGGCCGGTCCCGGGTCCACCATTCTTGAACCGCCGGCCCGCCCGGGCCTAGGCCCGACCCGGACCCGGCCCGGACCCGAGTCCACCCTTACATACGAGGGTCGTTTACAACCTAATTCTTCACAAAAACATGACCATTGTAGTATTTCACAGTAGTAAACCCATCCACAAAACCATAATAATGTTTGGAGTTAATCCAACCTTAGAAAAACCAGGTCCATCACATGTTAACATTACAATTTAGACAAAACTTTAATTATTATTGAACTGGTATTCAATATTTCAGACATACATTTTTTTTTAAAATACTTTACCGATATAGGTATTTTAAAAATACTATAAGTATATCTATTTTAAAGTATTGAAATGTTATTTAATATACCTATTTTAATAAGCTTTTGACACTCATATGGAGGAATGTTTAGTTGAGGCTGATCAGGTTGTTGACCAACTTTAATTGCCAGGAAATCAATTGAAGGTTGCCTTTGATACCAACTTTTGTATACTCATAGCCAAAATACAATATTCAACTATACACAACTCATTGCTTACTCCTTATGACATCTCATATTTAAACTAACTTAAACTGAATTAGCATGGTGCTTATTGGTTATTTTAGCCCTTCACTTAAGGACTATCAGATTTCCTGCCACCCACCACAATGGGCTTCGGATCTATGTGGTCTGGCAGCCTGCAGGCCATAAAAACTAAAACCATATTTAAACCAAATGTATTGATTTATAAACATAGAATATTGTGAGAGATGCTCTGATTTAATATTTTGTTTGTAGCTCCTGAATGACTTCCTGAACTCTGTGTTAACGCACTTAAATCTACATAAGTACCCATAAGCCCAAATTGGGCAATACCATTGGTAAGTAGACTCTTTGTCATATAATGATGATACCAGAAACTAACTTAAATATGATGAACATATTTGGTTTCTTAAATATTTTTGTTTGTAGCCTTAATAACTACACCAAAAAGTTGAGTATAAAATAATAATGTCTTTACATAGACCGAAATTGTACTTCTAAACAATATGACATTTAAAGGAATCTGATCTACCTAATTTGTATTTGAGTTTTTTCATTACACCTTGCTATTGAATGTTGGCTGTGATGCACACTATTTCTTACTCTATATGTATCACTATCAATCCTGCAAGAGAACATACAAAATATGAAATATAAAAAAACCAAAAATGAATTGTAATAAGAACTTATCATAGAGATCAAGACACACCAATTAGTAGGTTGTCATTGATTACCCATTTATGCATATATCTACGTCATCCCTGTCAAATTTAGTGAATGTTAGCATCTACCTTTAGAAGAACACAACAATGAAGACATGGAAAATCTCTATCTTTTGAAAGAGTTGTAACAAGGAAATGATATACCTCTTCATGGAATTTTTTAGCTATCCCCACCTTTAGAATGCAACATAAACTTCAATGGCCCCTTCAACCCTCTCTCTTAATGCAATTGCTTGGTTATGTGATGTTAAAATTCGGCTTTATTTATACTTCAAACTTTAAAGAGCTCATATTGTGTTAGACAAATTACACAATGGTTAATAATATGTAGTGTCCCATTTTTTGATGACATGAAATCTGAATAGACAACACACTGTGGTTGAATAATATAACCTAAATATTTAATTTTAATAATATCTAATTCTGTAAAATCGTACTACAGAATCTCCAAAGTTGATTCTCCTTTGCACGCCAGCTCTATACTTCGTATTAAAAGGACAAAGCAGTATCTACCACACACCACCTATTTCATATTGCAAATCAAGTACAAAGCAACGTATTAAATGTGGATTCAGGCATCAAAGTTAACATTTTCTCTTAAACCTGACCCATATTTTTGCTGGAAGTTTGGGCGGGAAAATAAGCAATTTTACTCTTGCTTATGTATAATAGAAGATAATTGTTTGTGCTTTGATACATTACGTGTTTGTGCTATTAATCCTATTGTCTGTGCTTTGATACAAAATTATATGTGCTTTGTATCGTATTTGTTTGTGCTATATATACCATTGCTTATAATGTCAATTATATGTTTGTGAAAAACAAATACATTTTCACATCCCTGTCCAAAGCACATGACCAAATACATTTTCACAAAAATAACATACAATGTATTCTCTAGCCGAAAACAATATGTGGGTCTGTGGATTACAAAAACATACAATGTTTTTGTTTTCTAACCATTTTGCATGTCGAGTACAAATATTTTGACAATACACCATAAGAAAGCCTAATACCACAAAGACATGTAAAATATGTCAGATGCATTTAATACAAGCTAAGATTTAAATCAAAACCACTACAAAACATCATATCATTACGAACCTATTGTCCATTAATACATTGAGAGGTTGGTTGTGGGGTACTTGCATTATCATTTCTAACCCTTGTTTTCTTCTTCCCGTTCTCCAATGGTCTCTTTTGTCATTTTTTTCTTGGTGCGTCCTTACGCTTTGAACATTTAGGATCTCCAATTATTTGTGGAACGTTGCCTTGCACATCACTACTCGGTTGTGGGCTAGATGTTATCTCGCCACGTATAGAAGAACGATTAACTTGAGAAATATGTGGACAATTGAGTCTCCAACCAAAGGAGGACGCTTTCGTACTTCTCATCATCCACAATAATGTTTGCAAGTGATTCAAACGTCTTACACAAATTGTGAAAGCGTTATTGTTTGACCGTTGTGATCCACCTATCATAAATTATTTTCACTCTTGTGTAAGCTCTTATCACATATTTTCTCCATCTTCTCATTAGGTAGACCATGGACAAGAGCTTCAATCCAAGTTGAATTAGGACCACAATCAAATGTCTACACACCATACCCCTAAATTCAAACAAGTGAGAACTACATATTCCAAAAGTTAATGGGTCATATTCAACAACGAAGTTAACGGTCTTCTCAAAGCCATTAATGATTTTATCTTCGTTCACCATAAATTTTCTACCACCTTCGCTTTGTAAGAGAGCACATTACATCTTACCGATTATTTCATTTTGAAACTCCTTGAACTCAGATAGAGTGTATTTTGTTGCATTTGTTTATCCATGACAAATGTTGTAACACAAGAAATCATTTTTGTAAACAAACTAGTATCGGCGTGAAATTCTTTTTCCATCTTATTTCGCAAAGCACGTCCGTATTGCTCAACAAATTGTTTAAAATTGGTTTTCAAATTCACATATCCATCGAGAACAATTCATACTCTCACTTCATTGAGTGGTAGACATATCCGCCTAAAATGTTGGTTTTAAGTAACATGCTACCCACCAGTGTGTCATTCATTGTATATCACTCCAAGTCATTTATGGTCTTCTAGTGAAACCTGAAATAACATTAATGTCTTTCAAGTACATATATTGTGTTTGTGAAGTACACATATATTGTATACCCGAAAACAATATTGTGTCTATGGCGTACATTTGTTATGTTCGTGAAATACAAATATGTTTCGTCCATAAACAAAATATTTCCGTTATGGTCACACAATATTAGGACATACACTATAATTTTTTATCTGTCCGCAAACAATATAGTGTCTCTGTTGTATATTAATTATGTATGTGAAGTGAAAATATATTTATTCACAGGTAATATGTTTTTGTTATGAACACATAATATTAGGACAAATACAATGTTTTCTCTGACCACAAATATATAGCGTCTATGTAGTACACTTATTATTTCTGTGAAGTGAAAATACATTTTTTCCACAGATAAAATATTTCAATTATAGTCCAATTTTAAAGGAAAAATGGTACTTTTGTATAATGTGCTTTCAATTATGCTCAAATTCTGGAACATATTGTAAGTAATAAATGGATTAATTAATATCATCCAAGGTTTCTTACTTTTATGTAATTCGTCCGAGTTTTCCAGGTACCTTCTTCATAATGTGCCATAGACACCATCGATGTTTAGTATTTGGGAAAACAATTTTGATGGCGTTTTGCATTACACGATCTTGATTCATAATAATGCCCATCTCAGAACATCCTTTCATACACTCGATCTATGCTTTAAATAGCCACACAAATGTTTGAGTATATTCACTAGAGATTAATCCACATCCCAGGAAAATTGATTGATCATTATGACCCGACAAATAGTGCAAAAAGCATGTCATACCGATTCATAAGGTAGGGCGTGTCAAACGTGATGACATTTCCAAAATATGTGTATGCATATTTACATAGATTGTCGGCCCAAAAGACATTACACAATGATGACTCCTCATCTATAAGTCAAGGCTAAAGAAAAATCTGGGGCATTAAGCTTGCATTTGTAGCAAAAAATCCTTGAATTGTCATGGCATCATCACTTCTTAATCTAAGTTGTCTCACC